GTCGTCGGAGACACCAAGACGCCAGCAGACTGGAGGTAACGTCAGAGTCTATCTGTATTTCAGTGATATACACCTGGGAAAATGTAACTCACCCCCTGAGAACATGAATTATAACATGTCACCATTGATTTCACATGTTATAGAAATACTGATTATGACAGGAATGACGCTCCACTCTGAGGATGTCACCGTTCACATGTGAGAACATGACACGCATGTATTCCCCATAATGCCGGATGTTTAGGCATACAAATCTGGATGTTTAAACCCGCTGACAGGAATGACGCAGCTCACACGTCCCACTTTAATTCTGGAAACCCATTTGTCCAGAAACTCTCCATGCTGTGGCCAGTCTCTGTCAAAGGTATTTGCAAAATTGAACATGCCCCACTCTGAGGATGTCACCGTTCACATGTGAACAACATGTGTTCCCCATTGTGCCGGATGTTTAGACATTCAACTCTGGATGTTTAAACCCGCTGTCTTCCCTGAGAACATGGTACACAGAAAGGTATCAGAGTCCTTTGCCATACAGTAAACAATAGCTACTCAATTGGCATGCTGTGTATCGTAACAGGTTTGGGATCTAAGACGCTTGAGGAAAATTTTATTGATCAGATGAAGTTGGGTTCCTGATCCTTGTCACAGATGAACGACTGGGGGTTTGGATTCACAGGAATATGGCGTATACACCTAGGAACATCAGGCCAACTGTTGGGGGTGGTTCGGTAATGATTGTGGGTGTATCTCACATGGTTTCAAGGTGGACATGAGGGGGCACGGGTGGCCCAGTCGTCTTAGGCGCTGCGATTCGATGTGCAGAGTTGCGTCCCTTGGGTACGCCAGATTGTGGGTTGGAATCCCGGTTCGCCCCGATTATGTTTCTAGTATGTCAGCACCATACCCGTTCTCGTGGGTGTCACCAAAGTGCTAAACGTCTGAGACCTGCATCAATTCGGGCTTTCCTCCCACATTAAGCTGACACCACGTCGTGATATAACTGGAATACTGTTAAAAGCGGCGTTAAACCCAACTCACTCACTCACTCAAGGTGGATACCCTCACACGTAGTCAGTACATCTTAAATATCTTTAAACGAGTTAAAATTAATTAAACCTCCGTTTCGACAACCACCTCCCTGGCACAAAATCTCAGTACATGAATGATAAGACCCTTGAAGATCCGGAATAAAAATGGGTCTTCAGCAACCCATGCTGGCGTAAAAAGCAACTATGCTCATCGTAAGGAGCGACCAACGGGATCGGGTGGTCTGATTTCAAATCTAACCGATGCTGGCAATGGAGGCTATTTCTTGTCAGAGGCTTTTTCTTTCAGACCGCCTTCGTTTGTTTAGCGGTAGAGCGTTCACCCGTAGAGTGAAAGGTCGTAGGCTCGATCCCCGCCGCGTCATACCAAAAAGACATTAAAGTATGGTACTTGTTGTTACCCTGCTTGGCGCTCGAATTAAGGGGCTAAAATTCTAAAATTGCCACATTCAATGATGAATAAACGCTTCCCGATTTCTTTGAAGGTAACAATGAAACAATGAATGTATCCTAATGATTCTTCTCAACGTTACTCTGTTTCAGGAACCAAAACTGTGTATTTTTAAGTTTAGAGGATCAGCGTGGGCTTGGCTTTGACACAGAGTCACTTCTGCCTGAGGAGAGCTATGCAAGAAAGACGATGGGATATCTGTTTGCAATAGCTCATGGCGCAAAGGTAATTTATGAAACTGATGATGACAATCGTCCCCTTGATCTACTGAAAACTTTCAAACTAGATCCAACAATGTGGGGAATCTTGTACAGAGGGGAAAAACTCTTTAATCCCTACCGCCATTTTGGACAGCCGACATTGTGGCCAAGAGGATATCCGCTTGGTTCTGTAGGAGAATCACCAACAACAGAATATCTACTAAATCACTGGAAAACGCCATCTATTCAGCAGGGTTTGGTCAACAGAGATCCAGATATGGATGCCATTTTCAGACTCACCCGGAAACAAACCCGTTCTCAGCTGAATGTGACCTTTGATGGAAGAGCTCCACCAGCAATTGTTCCAGCTGGCGTTTTTGCTCCCTTTAATTCCCAGAATACCCTTTTCTTGTATGATGCATTATGGGCACTCCTAATTCCATCAACCACGACATTCCGAGTGTGTGATATTTGGAGAGGCTACTGGGCTCAGAGACTCTTGTGGGAGATGGGAGGAAATGTAGGGTTCTTCCCACCAAATGCTGTCCAGAGGAGGAACTCTCATTCCTACCTCAGTGATGCACAGGAAGAGAAGGATCTCTATTTCCAGACAGAACGCCTTGTTGATTTCCTTACCAAATGGAAATGTGGAGCAAATAGAACATTTTTTGCTTGTATGACTAAATTATCGACTGATATGGTACATGAGAACTTTTGGAAGGAAAGGGATGCAAGTCTGACATCTCTTTGGATCAAGGACCTTGTGGCACTTGGCTACAAGGAACCAAAAAGAATTCCGTTTGGTTCTCTAAAATACGCTGCTCAATATATAACAGTAGAGAAATTGCAAACACAAACTCGTATGACGGATCAACAGATCAATGTCAAATTCTGGGCGGCTGGGCAAACACCACCCCAGATATATTCCCAAGCTACGCAGTCACCTGCGGTTGTGTCGCATGCTGCTCAAATAGCTTCCTATTGCAGCGGTGAATCGTTTATAGCATCTAAACTGACAGATATCATTACATATCCAAATATTTTGTTAATTGTAGTGTTCAACTTTCCCCACTATGAGAATCTCCAGTTTCTGGAGACAATGTACAGCATGCACTTTCCTCACATCATTTATTGTGGAGCCAACAAAGATCAATTTGACACTCACGCTAAGCTCCTTCTCAAGCCCTTGACCTTCATAGAGGTCGACCATGCCAATGGTTGGCTTGGTCAGCTCTGTTTGATAGAAGCCATGAAAATGCAGTTCCGTGTTGATGGATACTTGTACATGGGCGATGATGTCTTGCTTAATGTGTGGAACATTCACATGTTTCCATTAAACAAACTCTGGGTTTATCACGTAAGAGTTGTACGACAGTCTAGGAAGGAACATGGCAACCGGGTGCACCATCCCAAAGTAGGATCACAAGCATACCAGGCTGCTCTAAAAGCTTTGAAAATTGTAGATATTCACAGATATAACAGTTTCACAGATATGCTTTCTAACAACTCAAGGGAGAAAGATGGATTCTATATTGGTTCCTCGGACATTTGTTATGTTCCTGAAAAATACAAAGATGACTACCTCTACTATATGGAACACTTCTCCAGGTTTGACTTATATATTGAGGTGATATTTCCAACAGTTCCCCGTGGAATAGAAAAGTTGGAGAATCTTTACATGATGAAGGGAACCTACTGCGGATATGAACCAATTGCCGACATACCGAAGCATTTTAATGAGCGTAACCTCTTTGTGCACACTGTTAAAATATCAAAATCAGTATATGTCCCCGAAGGAAGGACATTTTTCTGTAAATATTTCTTTCCTCTAACTTTGAAAAATTCGCGGTTTAAAATGCCCTAACTCGCATGCTGAAACCTTAAGACCACACCCGCTAACGGACTACTGATTCCTGATTGGCTCCAAATAGAAAGGCGGGTCTTGTGGTGCATTATGGCGCTGAACTCTGTCACAAAGGTGCGTTTTTGATCAAATAAGCAGAATGTGAAGGTATTATTGTTGTGTTACAACTGCTAGAGGAGTGGCCAGACTCTCTACTGCCGACACACCCCTCTCCATAGCAAAAGAAAACAAATTGACGTCACTTAATGTTTTTGCATCCAATGTAATAGAATATGATGGTTGTGGTCAGATATTTTGGTTGCAGATTCTGGGATATTTTGGTCAAAATGAACACTTCTGTTGTAAAAAATCAAATAAAGTCATATAAAAAGATAATTTATGCATCCTGTCCTCTTTCTGTCATGTATGCGGCTGTTTTAAAAAAAATACCTGGTCTTTAGCTATTATTAAAAGTAATCACAAACTAGTAAATTTTGTTCTCTTTTCGTTTTCTGATTGAAAATTAATTGCAGTGTAATACCAGTATTTTCAACCAAGCAATTTGATATCTGAAAATGAGCCGGTGCACATCCTTATGATGAGATAGCAGTGGTAAAATTCCACACAAATTGAAAAGATTGGTGATGTGTTATCCCACCTTGGATTTTGTATTCTTATCAGCTACAAAACCAGATATTTTTGTTATTTAAGACTATCAGCCTGACCTTTTGTTTAGATACACTCCTTGCAACAATAATATTATTCTGTCAGGCAGGTTCTTGTTTTTCAACAGCCTTCAACAGTTTTGGGGCAAGGTATTTTTCTTCGATAAAATGGCAACCACCTTTACCTGATTCTCTCTCCTCCCCGTAGTCGTAGTCTCTCATGCTCGCACCTGCCATTCGCTCCTCACGTACTCCCCTCTCTCTCCTGCTCGTGTCCTTCTCTCTCTCTCTCTTCCCTGTACTCGCCTCTCTCTCTCCTCACCGTACTCGCCTGTCTCTCCTCCTGTTCCCGTCTCTCTCCTCTCCGTACTTGCCTCTCTTTTCTTCTTCCCGTAACCGCCTCTCTCTCCTCCTCGTAATACCATCTCTCTCCTCCCCGTACCCGTCACTCTCTTCTCCCAGTACTCACCTCTCTCTTCTTCCCGTACACATTTCCCTCTTCTCCTCGTACTAGCCTCTCTCTTCTCCCTGTACTCGCCCCTCTGTCGCTCCCCTCGCCTCGCCGTACTCGCCTGACTCTCTCATGTCCGTACTCGCCTCTCTCCTCCCCGTACTCGCTTCTCTCTCCTCCCCGTACTCGTCTCTCTCTCCTCCCCGTACTCGTCTCTCTCTCCTCCCCGTACTCGCTTCTCCCTCCTCGCCATTATCGCTTCACTCTCCTCCCCGCACTTGCCTCTCTCTCCTCCCCGTACTCGTCTCTCTCTCCTCCCCGTACTCGCTTCTCCCTCCTCGCCATTATCGCTTCACTCTCCTCCCCGCACTTGCCTCTCTCTCCTCCCCGTACTCGTCTCTCTCTCTTCCCCGCACTCGTTTCTCTCTTCCCTCTACTTGTCTCTCTCTCCTCTCCCAACACGCCTCTCTCTCCTCCCCGTACTCGTCTCTCTCTCCTCCCCGTACTCGCTTCTCCCTCCTCGCCATTATCGCTTCACTCTCCTCCCCGCACTTGCCTCTCTCTCCTCCCCATACTCGTCTCTCTCTCTTCCCCGCACTCGTTTCTCTCTTCCCTGTACTTGTCTCTCTCTCCTCTCCCAACGCGCCTCTCTCTCCTCCTCGCACTCGTCTCTCTCTCCTCACCGCACCCATCTCTCCTCCTCGTATTCGCCTCTCTCTTCTCTCCGTAAACGCCTCTATCTCCTCCCCGTACTCGCTTCTGTCTTCTCGTCGTACTCGCCTCTGTCTCCTCGTAATCGCCTCTCTGCTCCCGGTACTCGCCTCTCTCTTCTCCTCGTACTCGCCTTTCTCTTCTCCCCGTACTGTCCTCTCTCTCCTCCACATAATCTCCTCTCTCTTCCCCGTATCCACCTCTCTCTCCTCCCGCCTCTCTCGCCTCACGATATACATGTACGTCTCTCCCTCCACCCGTACTCGTATCTCGTTCCTCCCCGTTACCGCCCCTCACTCCTCGCCGAACTCGTCTCTCTCTGCTACCGTAACCGCGTCTATCTCCTCCCCGTACTCGCCTCTCTCTCCTTCGTGCGCCTTTTGTGTGTGAACTGATGTAGTGTTAATGTTCTATCTCTCTCCCACAATAAATGGAATACGATTGGTAAAAAATACCGAAAGTATCGCACAGGTGTGTATGTACATCCTTCACAAATACCTGTGTACAACCAATACCTTTATACAACCAATACCTGTGTACAACCAACACCAGCATACAACAAATACTTCTGTAAACCCATCACCTGTGTACAACCAATACCTGTATACAATTAATACCTGTGTACAACCAATACCTTTATACAACCAATACCTGTGTACAACCAACACCTGCATACAACAAATGCCTCTGTAAAACCATCACCTGTGTACAACCAATACCTGTATACAACCAATACCTGTATACAACCAATACCTGCATACAACAGACACCTGTGTACAACCAACACCTGTATACAACCAACACCTCCATACAACAGACACCTGTATACAACCAATACCTGTATACAACCAACTTCTGCATACAACAGACACCTGTGTACAACCAATTCCCGTGTACAACCAACACCTTTGCACAACCAAAACCTGTATACAACCAATACCTGTGTACAACTAATACCTGTATACAACCAATACCTGTGTACAACCAATACCTGTGAACTACCAATACCTGAATACAACCAATACCTGTGTACAACCAATACCTGTATACAAGCACTACTTGTGTACAACCAATACCTGTGTACAACCAATACCTGTATACAACCAATACCTGTGTACAACCAATACTTGTGTACAACCAATACCTGTGTACAACCAATAATTGCAAACAACCAATACCTGAATACAACCAATACCTGTGTACAACCAATACCTGTATACAAGCACTACTTGTGTACAACCAATACCTGTGTACAACCAATACCTGTATACAACCAATACCTGTGTACAACCAATACTTGTGTACAACCAATACCTGTGTACAACCAATAATTGCAAACAACCAATATTTGCATACAACCAATACCTGTGTACAACTAACACCTGTATACAACCAATACCTGCATACAACAGACACATGTGTACAACCAACACCCGTATTCAACCAACACCTGCATACAACCAATACCCGTGTACAACCAATACCTGTAAAGAACCAATACCTGTGTACAACCAATACCTGTATACAACCAATACCTGTGTACAACCAATACCTGAATACAACCAATACCTGTGTACAACCAATACCTGTATACAAGCAATACCTGTGTACAACCAATACATGTGTACAACCAATACGTGTGTACAACCAATACCTGTGTACAACCAATACTTGTGTACAACCAGTACCTGTGTACAACCAATACTTGCAAACAACCAATACTTGCATACAACCAAAACCTGTGTACAACCAACACCTGTATACAACCAACACTTGCATACAACAGACACCTATGTACATCCAACACCTGTATGCAACCAACACCTGTATGCAACCAACACCTGCATACAACCAATACCCGTGTACAACCAATAACTGTAAACAACCAATACCTGTGTACAACCAATACCTGTATACAACCAATACCTGCATACAACAAATACCTGCATACAAAAAATACCTGTGTACAACCAATACCTGTGTACAACCAATACCTGTGTATAACCAATACCTGAATACAACCAATACATGTGTACAACCAATACCTGTATACAAGCAATACCTGTGTACAACCAATACGTGTGTACAACCAATACCTGTGCACAACCAAGACCTGTATACAACCAATACCTGTGTACAACCAATACCTGTATACAACCAATACTTGTGCACAACCAATACCTGTATACAAGCAATACCTGTGTACAACCAATACGTGTGTACAACCAAAACCTGTGCACAACCAAAACCTGTATAGAACCAATACCTGTGTACAACCAATACCTGTATAGAGCCAATACTTGCATACAACCAATACCTGTGTACAACCAATACCTGTGTACAAGCAATACATGCATACAACCAATACCTGTGTACAACCAATACATGTGTACAAGGAATTCATGCATACAACCAATACATGTTTACAACCAATACCTGTCTACAACCAATACCTGTGCACAACCAATACTTGCATACAGCCAATACCTGTGTACAACCAATACCTGTATACAACCAATACTTGCATACAACCAATACCTGTGTACAACCAATACCTGTATACAACTAATACTTGCATACAACCAATACGTGGGTACAACCAATACTTGTGTACAACTAATACCTGCATACAAGCAATGCATGCATACAACCAATACATGTATACAACCAATACCTGTATACAACCAATACATCTATACAACCAATACCTCTATACAACAAATACCTGTGTACAACCAATGCATGTGTACAATGAATTCATGCATAGAACCAATACATGTGTACAATCAATACTTGTGTACAACCAATATCTGTATACAACCAATACCTGTATACAAACAATGCCTGCATACAACTAATTTATTTTATACAACCAATAGATTTTTACAACCAATACAAAAGTGTCTTCGAAAATTCCAACAAATTCAGCATGAAACATGGAGGCTACTGTCGGGGTAGCTTCGATGCTGTGGTTGCCTTTTGAGTGAGCGAGTGAGTAAGGTTTAACGCCGCTTATAACAGTTTACCAGTTAAATCAGCTGAATGTGTGAGGAAAGCCCGAAGTGATGCAGGTCTCAGACGTTTACAACAATTTGACACGAGCAGGATAAAACTGAACTTCCGTACAAGGCACGTTGCACGTTGTGTTGATTACACGCCTTGTTTATGTCAGGTACGTTGTACGTTGTGTTGATTACACGCCTTGTCTATGTCAGGTACGTTGTTTACTTGTGTTTAGTGATTACACGCCTTGTCTACGTCAGGTACGTTGTACGTTGTGTTGATTACACGCCTTGTCTATGTCAGGTACGTTGTTTACTTGTGTATAGTGATTACACGCCTTGTCTTAGTCAGGTACGTTGTACGTTGTGTTGATTACACGCCTTGTCTATGTCAGGTACGTTGTACGTTGTGTTGATAACACGCCTTGTTTATGTCAGGTACGTTGTACGTTGTGTTGATTACACGCCTTGTCTATGTCAGGTACGTTGTTTACTTGTGTATAGTGATTACACGCCTTGTCTATGTCAGGTACGTTGTACGTTGTGTTGATAACACGCCTTGTCTATGTCAGGTACGTTGTTTACTTGTGTATAGTGATTACACGCCTTGTCTGTGTCAGGTACGTTGTACGTTGTGTTGATTACACGCCTTGTTTATGTCAGGCACGTTGCACGTTGTGTTGATTACACGCCTTGTCTATGTCAGGTACGTTGTACGTTGTGTTGATTACACGCCTTGTTTATGTCAGGCACGTTGCACGTTGTGTTGATTACACGCCTTGTCTATGTCAGGTACGTTGTACGTTGTGTTGATTACACGCCTTGTTTATGTCAGGTACGTTGTACGTTGTGTTGATTACACGCCTTGTCTTAGTCAGGCACGTTGCACGTTGTGTTGATTACACGCCTTGTCTATGTCAGGTACGTTGTACGTTGTGTTGATTACACGCCTTGTCTATGTCAGGTACGTTGTTTACTTGTGTATAGTGATTACACGCCTTGTCTTAGTCAGGCACGTTGCACGTTGTGTTGATAACACGCCTTGTTTATGTCAGGTACGTTGTACGTTGTGTTGATAACACGCCTTGTCTTAGTCAGGGACGTTGCACGTTGTGTTGATTACACGCCTTGTCTATGTCAGGTACGTTGTTTACTTGTGTACAGTGATTACACGCCTTGTCTTAGTCAGGTACGTTGTACGTTGTGTTGATAACACGCCTTGTTTATGTCAGGTACGTTGCACGTTGTGTTGATTACACGCCTTGTCTATGTCAGGTACGTTGTTTACCCTTGTGTATAGTGATTACACGCCTTGTCTTAGTCAGGTGCGTTGTACGTTGTGTTGATAACACGCCTTGTTTATGTCAGGTACGTTGCACGTTGTGTTGATAACACGCCTTGTTTATGTCAGGTACGTTGTACGTTGTGTTGATTACACGCCTTGTCTATGTCAGGTACGTTGTTTACCCTTGTGTATAGTGGTTACACGCCTTGTTGATGTCAGGTACGTTGTTTACCCTTGTGTATAATTGTTACACGCTTTATCGATGTCAGGTACGTTGTTTACCCTTGTGTAGTGGTTACACGCCTTGTCTATGTCAGGTACGTTGTTTACCCTTGTGTAGTGGTTACACGCCTTGTCTATGTCAGGTACGTTGTTTACCCTTGTGTAGTGGTTACACGCTTTGTCTATGTCAGGTACGTTGTTTACCCTTGTGTATAGTGGTTACACGCCTTGTCTATGTCAGGTACGTTGTTTACCCTTGTGTATAGTGATTACACGCTTTGTCGCTGTCAGGTACGTTGTTTACCCTTGTATAGTGGTTACACGCCTTGTCTATGTCAGGTACGTTCTTTACCCTTGTGTAGTGGTTACACACCATGTCTATGTCAGGTACGTTGTTTACCCTTGTATATAGTCGTTACACGCCTTGTCGATGTCAGGTACGTTGTTTACCCTTGTGTATAGTGGTTACACACCATGTCTATGTCAGGTACGTTGTTTACCCTTGTGTATAGTGGTTACACGCCTTGTCTATGTCAGGTACGTTGTTTACCCTTGTGTATAGTGGTTACACGCCTTGTCTATGTCAGGTACGTTGTTTACCCTTGTGTAGTGGTTACACGCCTTGTCGATGTCAGGTACGTTGTTTACCCTTGTGTATAGTGGTAACACACCTTGTCGATGTCAGGTACGTTGTTTACCCTTGTGTATAGTGGTTACACGCCTTGTCGAT